AACCTGATGTGCACATTCTTAATTAAGGGCACTAATCAGTGTTCACTAATTCAGTGTTCTTGGTGATTTTGTAGAACAGGATTACCCAATGTGGCTGATTGGGAAATTCTGGAAGTTGAAGTCTACAGGTCTTAAAGCTTGCAAGATTGGGAAACCCTGTTCTAGTACATAAATACCATGAAAGTATTGAAAGTATTTACATGTGTAGAGGATGGAGAAGACAAAGAAGATTTTTTCAAGCAATTTGATCAATATTTTGAAATTGTTCTGCTTTTGATAACATTTTCAGACTTACTTTAGTTTATAAAATGTACATTAAACAATCTATATTGTGGATGTATGTACTAACTGCTGAAAGTTTACGCAGTCAAAGACAACAGGATGACAAGAATAAGCTGATGAATAATTGTATGTATTAAAATATAATGAGATATAAAATGGATAGATACTGGACAAAATTTACCAACACAAAAATAAAATTTAACAATATAAACATATCACGTTTTCTGTACTTTATAAAACTACAGATCTATTAATCTATTCTATTAAGAAAGGCGCTCATATTTTCTTTTAGTCTAATCTTATGAGCCTTTGATCTAAGATCATGTGCAATATTTGGGATATTTAGAGTATTTGAAGGGATCTATGGTATGTGCCTGGTCTGTGGTGGACTGAATATTCTGGAAGATACAACATTAGTTTAGGAGCAGTGACACTTCATGCAAGCAGGGTCCCTTTGAAAATTTTGCCCAGGGTAACACATGCTCATTTTGGTCTAATAATGTCAACAAAAAAAATCACATAGAATAGCAAGTGGATGGATTAATTATGAACATTAATGGCACTAATAGCATTTTGTTTTGTTTTATAAAAAGTAATGTGAACATGTTCTAATGTTTTTTCTTCTGTAATTATATCTGATTTTCAAAGAATGCCTGGAGAAGTCCATTCAGTTTTCTCTGACAAGGTTTTTTTTAAATGATTTATGTCTTCTTTATAGGGCTGAGAGAAGGTGACTGGCTCAATGTCACCTAGCTGGTTTTCTGCCTCAGGCAAGACTAGTACTAATTTCTCCAGTTTCTAGCCTGGTAGGTTAGGTTAGGTTTATTTGGCTTGTATGCCGCCCTACTCCCGAGAGACTCAGGGCGGCTAACAATAAGAAAGGGAAGGGGGTACAAAAATAAAAACAACAATTAATCTTAGTCACAACTTTAAACTATGGACCCCTCACAGCTGGATATAAACTGTTTTAATTCCTCCCCTCTGGACAGTACTTCAGGG